TTTTCATACATCTCTAAGTTCTTTTCCACTCCTAAAAGTGATAACCTTTAGTTGCTCCCTTGGATTCTTGTCAATATTGCTTAGCAAACATCCCTAAGCTCTTCTAGAAACCATATTTGCAATCTGTCCAGATAGTTGCATCTTGATTTTGAAACCTTATTTCTTGATTCTAAAACCTTGCTTCTATACTACTAACAAACTTTTCAACAACTCCTCCAAATCTAGTTTCTTTTTTTTGTTGATTTTGTTGCTAGAAACCTAGTGGTGCTTTAGCTTGATTATTACTCTATAAAAAGTTAGGATGGCTCCTCAATCCTGGATTGTAGGTATTGGAGTATGGATTGAAATTAGACCTATCACCAAAAGAGACAAATTTAGCTTGCTTATTAGAAGAAAGACATGAATTACCTACTTGGCATTAAACACTACCATGACCAAATTGTCCACACAATTTACAATACATATTAGAAGAAACACTTATTGATGATGCTCCAAAACTATCCAACCTTTTAATCAAATTAAAATTTGTGCAACTAATCAAATTAACATGTGGATGACTAGTCTTCGACAACGGCACTACAAACTTGGTGCATCAAATGTGCACTACTCTTAAGCAAGTGAATTTAATCAATTATATAGTATAAGATGAGTAAAATATCATTCCCTCGAAGACTATTCTATACTATCAAGATGATATTAACCTAGCTTAAGTTAAATTAGTCAATTAATTAAATAAAGTTAAACTATTTAATCTAAAAGAATTTTCTAGGTAAAAGAAACTATGAATGAAAATGAGTTAGGGTTTAGATTTCATCTAATTCTAAATTATGTAACTGGCTAATTACTCTAATCCAAGTTCAAATAACAATGTTATCGCACAAGATGGCAGATTTTCCTCAATTAATTAACTTTCTCAAGTCAACTTAATACTTCCCCTGCTTGTTAAACTAATCATATATCTCTGTGATTTAAAACAAACCGGTGAGTATTTAATTCTATGGAAACCTTTAGCTTAAGAAAGGAGGAGCTCTTAACTCTCTTCTCTTTCTCTACTATCACATATAACGCTAATTACCTCTTAGTCTCATAATTTAACACATGGTTTCTATTGTTATTGGTCTAGTTTATGCAATTCTTTCTCAAATTCATGCATAAATCACTAAATCAATTGAAAAGTGATCAAGCTTTTAAGTCTTGAATTAAACCAAAATCAATCACATAATCCAAGAATTAAAATCCATTTAACCCTAGTTCAAGTAATTTAATCACATATGTTCAAGTAATTTAATCACATATAATCAAGTTCAAAACAACTATAAAAATTAAAAAGGAAATCCAACAAAGATACATTGTAAAATT